GGGGTGGGGGGGGGGTTGAATTGAATGATCAATTATTAGACCCGGACTCGCCGACACTTGCTTCGCAAGTCAAACTCAAGGTATCCCCTAAAGGGCTACCTTTCGTGAACTGAAGAGTTAAATATTGGGTAAATCAACTGGCTACTAGATTTGATAAAACAGCAGGCTCAGGGCGATGACGCGACGACGCCACGACGATGACCCGTGCCGCCAAGTAGCGCTAGCTGCTGGGCGAGGACCTTCAGGCGGTCTGTCTCGTCAAAAAGTTCGTGGGCATCCGCCTTCAGACCTTCGCCCTCCTGGCCCAGCACTCTTCCCAGAAACGGGCGCGATGTGAAAAATTCGTTGTATCTTAGGGAAGCGCAAAAAGAGCCGCCAAGCAGCCAGGTTGCCCTTCCACCACGTAACTCCACGTCTAAGGCAATGCCGCCATCCAGGTACAGCTGTCTCTGAGCCAACTGACGAAGATTGCTGTAACACGCAATCGCCATTGACACAGTTCCCCAGGAGTCTCTTTCCTTGACTGCTGCGCCGACGCGTGACCGAAACCGTTTCCGCCGGGTTTGTTCCGACTGCGGCAGTGACTTCGCTGCGGCTTTCCTTTTCCGGAGCATTTGCCGTCGACGGCAGTGCCTGCAACGAGCCAAACGCCTCTACACCTTTTCTTTCAAGAGCAGCATATATTTTCAGTCGGCAGCTTTCAGTCAGCCAGCTGCGCCGCTGATGCACTCGACTGATCACCGCTTCTGCTTGCACAATGTCTGCGGAAGAACGGCGCGCAATCTTCCGACCACGCCGCGGAGCCATGAGTTACTAGGTACGGTGCATACGCCATGTGCTGCTACCATGTAATGCGAGAACCTTCAGGCGGTCTGTCTCGTCAAAAAGTTCGTGGACATCCGCTTTCAGGCCTTCGCCCTCCTGGCCCAGCACTCTTCCCAGAAACGGGCGCGGTGTGAAATATTCGTTGTATCTTAGAGAAGCGCAAAAAGAGCCACCAAGCGCTGAGAGCTCCAGGCGAGACGGCCGCCTTGAGGCCTTCGCCCTCGGGGGCCTCGCGCGGTGTGAAAAATATTCGTTGTATCAAAACAAAGGCAAGGCTGGCCCAACGGCATTTCTTGAATG